AATACTGGACTACAAAGGCTTTATTAAAATTAAAATGTCATGACGTTTCGACCTGTGATAATTAATTTGGTGGACCATGCAATTCTCTTATCAAATTATCAATTCCATAAAAAAAACATAGAAATTGTTAAACAAATTTTGACCAATAATTATTTTCCGTTAAATATAGTAGACCAAATTATTAAAAAACATGTACAAGTACTAAAAAACAAAAAGAATTTCAATTCGACCCAAGACAATAATATTCAAAAAGTTAGTTTTGAAAAAACTCCTTTTATTACGTTACCGTACATTAAGGACCTTAATAATGACATCAGCAACTCTCTTTTAAAAGTTAATAACACGTTAAACGCTCAAAAGGATACTGAGAATCTAAATATTATTTATGACAAGATTATCAAATTAGTTTAAAATTGATTGTATTACACGAACACGCTCTTTTACTGACGAGAAGTCTTTTAAGACACAAAGTTTAATCTTGAAATATGTATGTGTATATTAGTGAAAAGTTATAAAATTTGCGCACTGCTGTATTTATGTGGTCATCTCCAATACTATGTAAGAATTCTGTGTAATTTTTTGTTGCTGTTTTTTATTTTAATTTATTGTAATAATACATAACTATATATAATTTTTCAGCTCATTTGAAAAGGACCTAAATCACAGGTCGAAACGTCATGACATTTTAATTTTAATAAAGCCTTTGTAGTCCAGTATAGGTCGTTTCTTTAATATTATATACTTTCATTTTTGATCTATATATTAAAATGTATTTTATATGTACTTATATTCTTAAAAAAAACTTATAAAAATATTAACGAAAGCATATTTGTAAGCATATTTTTAATTATTTGGATTTTAAAATTATACATAAGTAGCACATTATGATACATTAGACTTAATGTTATATTATAAATATAAGAGATAAAATGTTATAAAGATACGGATAAAATAATAAGATAATTTTTAAATAAAATTAATATTTTATTTTATTGTGCTGTCAAGATAATAATTTGATCAATAATTTATAATATCATAGCTTAATAAAATTTTAAGATAAGTTTTAATTTTAGTTAATAATTTAAGTTAAAAGCTTGAAAATAATATTTGTCAATAGATAACGTAGATAGTCAATTTTATAAAAAATTAATTTTTTTTAATTTTATTATTTAATTGTCAGAACCTTAAGTATATATATATATATATATATATATATATATATAAATATATAGAGGACAATTGATTTATTTTGGTTTATATTGATTTTTATTAATAGAAAATCCGCAAATTTTTTAATATTAATTCTACTTAATATTTTGTATGTACTTGCTAACTTTTATTATTAACTTTACAAATAGAGCTTTTATTATTAACTTTACAAATAGCTGTTAATAATTGATCAAAAGTCTTTTGATATATAAAAAGACAGAACTATATTTCAATTGTACAAAATAAAAAAACTGTTATTTCTTAATTAGATTCTCAATGAATAAAATTCTCACTTTATTATTTTTGAATACATATTTTTGTTTATATTTTATTTATATCTTCAACAGGCATAAAAATATAAAAAACTTGGTAAGTAAATCAAAACAACCTGACTGGCATGTAAATTCTTTAATTAATTAATATTTGATGTACAATTAACGTTTCGCTCATTCCATTTGTGATCCTTATCAAGTACAATAACTGTAACAAAATATGATGAGAATAAAAAATTAAACATACAAAAAGAAGATATAAAAATATTTAAAAAAATTAAAAAGACATTAAAAACACCGCGCAAACACTATGAAATCTTGGTCGTGTTTCTCATTTTTTATACAAAAAACTCAATAGACTAACGTATCAGTGCAGTGCAATCATTTGGTTAGTATAAAAATATAAAAACTATACTTTTATTTATTAATTATTTTTATTATATATTTCAAATATTTTTTATATTACATAAATTGTATTAATTTAAAAATTTTATTTGATAAATATTTTTGTAATTTTTTAAAAGTATTATATTACAATTTTGAAGGTTAACTTTAAAATGATTTTTTTAATTTTAGTTTTAATATTTATTAATTATAATAATTATTATATTATAATATATAATTAATTATTAAAATTTTATAAATTATTAAAATATTTATAATTATTCTAACATCTAATGTATAATATAGCTTACATAATTTATATAGTCTATATAAAACAAATCTACGTAAACCTTAGATAGACAATGATATAAATAATTCATATGAACGTAAATTTGAAATCTATGTCACAACCCTGGTAATATCTCGCCCCGTAACAGCAAACCGCGTATTTACACGCAAGCCGTTCAGTTGCGAGTATCTTTTGTTAGATTATCAGATTATCTTATTAACAGCTGGGGAGCAATCTTCTTAATAGGCTTAATCGATAGCTTAAGTCTCAATTCACTAGTACAATCAAAAGAAAAAATATGTAACTGCTAATGGCAATTTATATATATTTAATTTAAATATAACGCAATTTAAATATAACACATTAACTATGCAATACGTGAAAAATATAATACGTGAAAATTATTGCGAGTTATACAAATTATCTTGTGTTGCAGTCAAATATGTTATCTTATCATTATAATAAAGAGAGTTTTTATTGTGATGACAATATATTTTATTATTAATTAAAATATAATAATATAATATAAATAAATTACATAGCAGCGCTAAATCTTTGTTTATAATACATTTTTAAGATTTTTATCATTTTTGCATTTTTCTATTACATAACTTTTGCAAAAAAACTTAATGATATAAATAATTTGAATATATAAAATTAAAAAATTTTTATTTTATTAAGTTTGCGCATTTCTTTTTTTTATAATTTTGTGTAGAAAAGGTATTTAAATAATACAAAATAAAATAATACTTCTTTGCCATAATGCCTTTTTAATATATTAATCTAGCTATACAATAATGTTATATAAAAATACTTTTTATCATATTCTTGAAATAATTATTGTTTTTATATATCAGAAATCAATATAGTACATTACATAATTTGAAACGTATATAACCTAAAATTACATTTTGTATACTATAATGACAAAAGTATAATGTCAAAACAAAAGTAATTTCGCGAAATATAAGTTAATGTTAACATTTACCTGCTTTTGTTCGACATATTTTTATTCACTTAATTAAAAATGCTTTTTATCACAGACAAGGGCTGATTAATATACATATGATAAAAGCTTACAAAATTTTCGTACATTTTCTGTTATCAAAACGTCATAAAATCGATATCACGAGCAAAATAGCCTACAGGAATCGTTATATATAAAACTATATTTTTTTTATAAAAATATTATATTAATAAAAACACATACATATTATAGATATTTTTTTTATTTGCAAAACGGTAATATTTTCTACATGACATATAAAACCTTATTTTTTATTATTATTTTTAATAACCTGTATATCATTGGTAAAGCCTATTCTACAATGAGACAGAAGTCAGCGATCAGAAGATATAAGCAAGTCATAAGCCTATTATAAAACATTTATAAGTTGGAACGCAGCTGTCATAAAGATTTGTCAAAATTCAATCATTGTCACTTATAGCTTATGATTGCTTATGACTGACCAATTTTTAATAATTGATAGCTACATTCCAACAATTTATGAATGCTTTATAACAAGCTTATGACTTTCGCTTATATCTTCTAATTGCTGACTTCTGTCTCATTGTAGAATAGGCTTAAAACTAAACTTTTAATTTTTTGTCATAAAATTGTAAATTTGTACATTTTAACGATTTAGACATCTAACAATAAGACATGTAACATAAAGTAATATACATATTCACTCTGCATTTGAATGCTACAATAACTTCTATACGTAAACTCGCATTTATTATTTTTCATATATTTCTAGAAATTAAAAATATTTTTTCTCTAAAAATAAAATTGATAATGTATAAAATTAGAGTATAACTTATTATATATATTGTATATTCTCTCTTTCTATCCAATAAATATAACCCAAGTCTATATATATTACAAGATTTATGAAAAGATTTATGAATTGGTTAATAAATTTATGAAATTATGTGAAAATTACTATAGAGAAAAATTGAGAGATTTATTATTATTAATAATTTATTTTATATTAAGATAAGTTATTTGAATGTGTTCCAATGTGTAAAAATAAACGTTTTTGTAAGGCCTACGATTACTTGGTAATAGTTCTTTTTTCATGTCGTGTGCACATTTGCAAGGTAGACTGGACTTCAAGTTTAATGACGCTATTCACGCGATGGAAGCCAGCGACGCTGCAATACCATTTTATTGTTCTATATACATATAAACAACTCAATACCTACACGCGCAATGCTCTCATTAATGTCACGTAACTGCTTATCACATCTTATTAAGTGCCAGGAAATTTGATTCTGGCCCCGATACAACCGCAAGTTCTAGTTAAATGTGATGTATTACTTCATCAGTCATATTACAGATCGCCGTAACAATCACGCTTTTATATGCGGTAAAATCAACGTGTCAAATCGTCGAAATAATGTTGACCAACAAATAAGCTGTAATCGGTAACAATTGTGTGTGTATGTATATGTATTATTGATATGTCATCAATAAATATTATTATAAATAATCAATAATTAAATAAATATTATTAATGATTCTCCTTAGTAACATAAAAACTTTCTCTTCACATTTATATTTTTATCATTATTTAGAAATATTGTATGAACGCATTACTAATTTCTAATTTAACAATTTAAAAACAATTCTAGGTTCTAATGTTATATAAACAATTAATTCAAAAGCTTCAAGAACCGTTTGTAGGATTTTAATGTACAAATAATCTTACAATTCAAACAATGCGAACGTTTTGACCAAAGGTTAAAGCCATCTTCAGCGCAATACAAATTAATATTATTAAATATAAAATGAAAACATAGTTATATAATAAGTCAAGAGTTGCAGAAAAATGAACATTAAACTAAAAGATTACCGCTCAATTTTATCAACTGTCAATAAAAGACCTCGGCTGTTCCCATCTCTTCATAAATATAACATACATTAAAAAGAAATTGGTTAAACAAATTAAAATTATAAAAAACAATGATAAAATAGTAAAAAGAAAAATATATACCTGGTATTAGTAAATACCTTGTATTAGTAAAAACAAAATGAGAAAAAAATAAAGCATAACGTTCGCCGTCATCATTAGTAACTTCAAATTCCATCGATTTTACTAAAACACATTTTTATATTAAATTAAAAAGATGAAAACCAAAAGAAAACATTTTTTAATAAAAATTTAAACTGTAAATATAAAATCAACACACTAACCAATTCTATATAATAGGAACACTGGAATATTCAGGTATATGAAATGTGTACGAAAACTGACAACAAACGAATGCCTCGAGAAACAATAAACAGAGACAATATAAAGTCAAAAGTAAAGAAAGGGAAAGGAATAGAGTGGGAAGAAGATGATGTAGGGAGATGAATATTATGGAGGAAAGAGATTTAACGTGGACAAATAGGAATCCGGAAAAAATTCGGTGTCACTCTATTTATTTATACTATGTGTTTGTCTTTTTATGTGAAGCATTTTGGAAATAAGATGTTTGTAGTACGACGGTTCTCTGTCTAAAATTTCTGTGTCCTGCCATTTAAATTCATGATTGTGGTTTAATTTATATAATAAAACAACCGAAAAAGAGCCTGTTTTCTTATTAATATCTTTACGATGTTCTTGTATCCTTGTTCTCAATTTTCTTTTTGTCTGACCCACGTAAGAAGCGTCGCAGTCACAACAAGTAATTTTATAAACAACACACAAATCCATAAGATCTAATATGTCTTTTCCTGTTTTTATAAATTTACTGAATTCGTTAGTCCCAAAGAAGACAAAATTAATTTTTTTATTAAAATCTTTTAGGGACTAAAGTGTTTAGAGACGTTTCTGACGTAAGGAATAGTAAAATATGTTTGTTCTCCCGAGACTTAGAACTAGACGTCAATGATTTATGTGTGTGGAATTACAATATATTATGAATAGTCGAGAAAATAAATTTTGAAGGATATCCATTATTTAATAAAATTGTTATTGTGTGAATAAAATTCTTCTTATGGTATTTAGGATGAGACAGGAAAAGAATCTTATCAACCAATCAAAAAATGACACTTCTTTTCTGTGATAGTGGATGATGGGAATAAAAACTGAGGTATCTATCAGAAAAGATCGGTTTGTTGTACAAATCAAAAGTAATAAAGTTTTTTTCCACTATAATATTTACATACAAAAACTTGATCCGGTCATTAGCTACAATTTCAAGAGTAAATTTTAAACGTTCGTGTTTACAATTAAAAGCATTAACAATGTCATAAATAAATTTTTTCGGAGCCGCAAATAAAATATCGTCAACATAGCGAAAATAAAAAGGTAATTTAAACGGAAGAGAATCTAGTACAGCATTTTCCAACTCTTCCATAATAAGATCCGCTATTGTAGGCGATAAGGGTAAGCCCATTGGCGTACCAAAAATCTGTTTATAACAGGTATTATTAAAACTGAAAAATGTAGAATTTAATACTAAATTCACATCCACCAGAAATTCATCCAAAGGTAAAGTAGTGTTTTGAGAAATAATAACATTCCATCGCTTTTTCATAATATTAATAGTCTTCTGAATGGAAATGTTAGTAAAAAGGGACACTACATCAAAAGAGGCTAAATACCATTCTGAATCAAATTGAAAACCTTTTAATTTTTTAACTAAATCAAAGCTATTCTTAATATAATTCCTTGGTCTCATAATGCTATTATGTATGGTTTTGTGTAAAAAAAAGAGCTAAACCATGTAACGGGCTATTAATAGAGGAAACAATAATCCTCAGCGGATTACCTGTTTTGTGGATTTTTGATAAGCCGTAAACTCTAGATAGCACACTATCAGTATTCATAACGAATCTATATGTATAGGTATCAATAAAACCTTTTTGCTTCCATCTTGATAATAAAGTTCGTAGATTATCAGTTAATCTCCTCGTGGAGTCTTTATAACAGTATATGTATTCAGATCTGAGAATATTTCAATCATTTCACTAGTATAAAGAGATCTGTTCAACGCGACCGTGGTGTTGCCCTTGTCAGCTCTTGTAACAAAACCTTGGGATTTTCACTCATGAATTTCTTTGTAGAATATAATAATGTTTCTAGAATATAATAACTTTTTATCAGAAAAATTATTGTGGCTACTCCTCGCGTTCTGTATTTTTTGATAAGAGGGACAACACGATCCCTAACAAAGCATTTGACATTATCGCTGCATTTGTCAATATTTCTTTCAATGCATTTAATTAATTCAAAAATTGTAGGCCTAACGTTGATAGTAAGTAAATTGAATCTATCATTGAGTTGCAACAACATCTTCGGGAATAAAAACATTTGAAAAATTGACAAACCAGTGCAATTTATCCAAAGTCGATTCACTCTCGAAATCGAATTTCTAATTCCATTTCACGACATTTCTATAATCTCATAAGAAAACTAATTTTACTTGTTTCAATAAAACAATAGCTAAAACTTTTCATAAACTGTACATTTTACAGCGTCTTGATTATATAAAAATTGATAATATATTAATTAATTTATTTATAATCAAATATTTAAATGTTTAAAAATTTACAGGTAAATAAATTTATTTATTTAATAATACAATAAATAAAATTTTACATAAATTGTACATTTTACAACGTTTTACAGCGTCTTAATACATAAAAATTGATAATATATTTATTGATTTGCTATTAATCAAATATTTAAATATATTAAAAAATGTATAGATAAATAAATTTATTTATGTCACCTGATTGTTAACTTTTCCTCTGGTGAAATGATGTCTATATGCTTCATTCTAGGTCTATAATTATGATTTCTGAATAACTCGATTGCTCTCTTATTGCCACTCAGGATAACAAGTGTTGAAATCTTAGACAGTTCTAAGTCGCTCTAGTCAATGCACGCAATCAAAGTATCTCCTGACATATAGCTGAGAGCGCTATGTATTTGGCCTCCATAATAAATAATGCCATGAACCTCTGCTTCTTATTTTGCCATATGATCAATCTGCCCTGAAACATATAAAAACGCTGCTCGTGATGGAGTGACGGGTGTCAATGTTGTTGGTTCAATCTGCGTCGCAGTATCAAGCTTAATATAATCTAACCTAACTTAACTTAACCGAGACATTCTCCGGATTCTTCTGTTGGTCCGCGACTGATCTCGGATTTTGCGCCTGATGTCTCTTTAAAATATCTGAAGACACACTTCTCAGCCGACTAATATCTTTTTCTAAGATTCTGCATGTAAGGATGTATGCATGATTAATTTTACAAATTTCTTCCGAACTTTTTGGCTTCACTTTGTTGCTTAATTTGTTACTATAGGGTAGAAAAGTGTCGAAACTGGTTAACTTGTCCATATCAAACTTCTGTAGCATTCTTTGAATGTATATATTTTGATTTAGTCGATTTTTCCCTATCTTACAATCTTTGATAATGTTTATGTCTAATAAGTATTTTGCTTCTCCGAGATCCTTTATATTGAACTTCTGAAACAGTTCCTTTTTTAGGGACACTTACTTTCTCGTTATTAGTCAAGATCAGTATCGATGGTTACAAAGTCATCGATAGTTACAAGACTCTTGTTATTTCGTTTAAAATACACGCAAAAGTCGACTTGTGATCTTTTAAATCCCATGTCTGTCAATTTGTCATGGAATTTCTTATTCTGCTGTTTCTATACATAGATTTTTAAAGTTGCCACATTTTTCCTTTTTCTTCGAATTTCACAAGTTCTTCTGGCAATTTACATATATGTCCTTGATTTCTTCGCTTTCTGCACACTCTCGTTCAACATTATTTTCTGTCAGCTCGTTTTGCAGACCAGCGGCCTTAGGCGAATTGATTGAAATTTTGATTTTCGACGTTTTTATATATTTGTAATTTTCCTAAAAATTCTCTTAAAAAATTCCATTGCGACTTCTCGTAACTATCTTTTCATTTCAGGATAAACTGGCAATTCTTTGAGTCTTCGCAGTAGCTTACAAACAGGAAGGGGAAGCTCTTCTCCAATTTTTGTTACAACTCTTTCGGCACATAAGCATATGATCTGCAACCAAAAGTTCTTAAATATGTTAACTCGGAATTGACCCTAATCACAACTCCTCTAGCATTTTATTTCCGACATTAGAGTTTGCTAATCTGTTAGGAAAACGGTGACTGCTTTAGCTCCATCTTTGATAGTTCAGCTTCAAATAGCAAGTTTTTTTTGTTTCTCAATGATAGACCTATTTTCAACACTCGACTACATACTCGAATATATATATATATATATATATATATATACCGTAATAAAACAATGTAGTCGAGTGTTGAAAATAGGTCTATCATTGAGAAACAAAAAAACTTGCTATTTGAAGCTGAACTATCAAAAATTGAGTATATATATATATATATATATATATATATATATATATATATATATACATATGTAATTATGTATATATATATATATATATATATATATATTGGAGGATCAAGATATTTTCTTATATTTATTGACGATTACAACAAAAAGACATTTGTTTTTTTTCCTGAAAGGAAAGAGAATAGTCAAGTCAAATCTTTTTTTAATTCACACTTTGATCAAAAACTAGACTGGAAAAAGAATCTATATCCTAAGCACATGAGTACGTCAATAAAGAATTTAAGAAATACACAAAAAAAATCTGGCATAACACATCAGTTCATAATTACATACGTATATATAAATATATATATATATATATATATATATATACAAATAAAGAATTTAAGAAATACACAAAAAAAATCTGGCATAACACATCAGTTCATAATTACATACGTATATATAAATAATGGGATTGCATTTCGCCCTCACGGTACCCCCCCCCCTCCCATAAGCGGCGGTTCTTCAATGTTTATTTTAGGAAGAAATACCAGCGCCAATAACCAGCGGCTGCAGGAATTTATAAGTGGGGCTATTTCGTAAAACATTTGTGGGACAAGCTTCCGGAACATATCAAGGTGGATCCGGAGGTTCAGACATATCGTCGCTGTCTCGAGCATTACAATCGACCGTGAATGCAAACGCACATTGACGGTCCAGCACCGATGATTAGGGATTGCAGCAAATGTCAGCGAAAATAGGCTGAGGTTAGTGACCACAAGTGTAATAAGTGTGAAAAGTGACAGACAATAAATATGCAGCCAACGAGTCGTCGCGAGGAGGTGGCGTTGCATAAGATGCCATTTGAATTATTGAAAGTTGGTGTAATAGTCAATGCCAATCTAATGGAAAAATATGTGTTCAAG